CCCCCCCCCTTGTTATGTTTAAGTTATAGTATAAGTATCTATGTTTTATTTACTAAGTTAATATATAAGTGTTTTTTATAAGTTATAAATATAAGTTTTTATACTTTTTTAGTATATCTTAAGTATGTGTTTTGTGTTTATAAGTTATATTATAAGTTCTTTATTTATATAAGTTATATTTATAAGTTTATATATTTATTTAATTAAAAATTTTATAAGTATTATCATTTGTGTAGTAGTTTGTTTTTTTGTTTTATTTCGTGACAACGTGTTTGTATACTAAATTGGTTTTAAAAAGTACAACATTTCTCCGTGGGATCGACCCTTACTTGCCCTAGCTATAGTTTTTATTTGATTATATATTGGGGGTTAGTTAAGGATATTTTATAAATTTTTAATTTGTTTTGGACCACACGACAAGTCCTCAACAGTATCAGAGCTTAGGTTTAAACCCTAGCTTTTTTTTTTCGAGACTGTGCTTCACCGCCGGTCTCCTCCCTCTCGCCGGTCGACCGTAAACGGCGACCATGGCTCAACCTTCAGATCCGCTTGCTTCTCTTCCCTCTGGCGCCAAGCTTCTTCTCCGCAATCTCCATAATCTTATCCCAGATGAGCTCACCTATTCAAATTACCCTGCATGGTCTCTCAATGTCAGAACTGCTCTCGAGGCCAACCTTCTTCTTGGTTGGATCGATGGTCATGAAGCTGCGCCCCCAAAAAGCCTATCCAAGGATGGCAAGGAAAACCCTAACCCAGAGTTCCAAACATGGACTGTGATCGATACTCAAATCCGTGCATGCCTTCTTGCCGTCATCAGTCCGTCTGTTCACAAGCATGCCCGCAACTTCACCACATCTGCCGATCTATGGAACGCTCTCGCTGCCCGGTATAATTCTGTTTCTACCGCTCACATCTATCAACTACGGGACAAACTTCACAAACTCCGAAAAGGTACAAAAACTATCACCATGTACCTTGATGAAGTTGCCACTATCCTCACCGATTTAGATGCTCTCAACGAGGTTATTCCTGAGAGAGATGTGGTGAATGCTGTTATCCGAGGCCTCCTTCATGAATATTCCTCCTTCAAGCAAAATATACGGATGAACAATGAGACTATAAGTCTCAATCAACTCTCTGGGTGGTTGACCTCTGAAGAAATAAATCTTGAAATCGAGCAAAAATTGAGTATTCAAGATTCCGCCTCCAGAGTTTCTCACTCTGCACTGTACACAAACAGCGGTCGAGGCCGCGGTCGAGAAGGACTGAACGGTCGACCGTCTTCTGGGCGAGGCTCTGGATCTGGTCGCGGCGGTCGAAAATACGGAAGGGGGGGAGGCCGCGGACCGTCACGCGATCTTCCAGTGTGTCAGATCTGTTCAAAGCTTGGCCACTCTGCTGCTACCTATTGGTACCGCTATGATGATTCTTCTACTGAGAACAACTCGGCTACCAATTCTCGTGCTATGCATGTAACCACAACCAACCAAACTGGTGATTGGTACCTTGATACAGGTGCTAATACTCATGTTACGCATGATTTTTCACAGCTGCAAACTCCGACTCCCTACCATGGCACTGAAACTATTACTGTAGGTAATGGTCATACTTTACCCATCACTCGCACAGGTTCAAGCTCAATTCACACCCCGAATGGTAAATTTCACCTCCCCTCACGTAATCATGTTCCCTCCCTTACTTCAAACAAAACTGTCCGTTCACCGCTTTACCAAAGATAATAATTGCACTCTTGTCTTTAATGCCAACTCCTTTCAGATAGTGGACAATGATACGAATCTGGTACGGTACACGGGCCCCTGTGAGCATGGTCTCTATACCCTTCCTTCCAAGCCTATCCCTGCTGTGTGTCAAGCTGTCACTGCATCCACCTGGCATCGCCGGCTTGGACATCCGGCTCCTGCTGTTGCCAAGTCTATTTTGTCTACTTTAGGTTTTAAATTTTCTGATCAATTACATTGTGAGTCCTGTCATGTGTCTAAGTCTTGTCGTTTGTCCTTTGAACTCTCTAAACATAAGACCACAGCGCCTTTTCAACTAATTCATTCTGATGTTTGGGGACCAAGCTCTGTTCCATCTATCTCTGGTTTTCGTTTCTATATCTGCTTTGTTGATGATTTTAGTAAATTTACTTGGATTTACCCTCTTAAACACAAATCTGAAGCTTACTCTGTTTTCACTAGCTTTGAAAAAATGGTTAAAACTCAATTTAATTCAAATATTCAGATTTTTCGAAGTGATAATGGGAAAGAATTGGTAAATACAGTCTTTGGAATTTTTCTTCAAAATCTTGGGATTCTGCATCACACGTCCTGCCCTTACGCCCCTGAACAGAATGGTGTTGCTGAACGCAAGCATCGACATTGTTAGAATAAGTGACCAACGCTAGAGGGGGGGTGAATAGCGTTTGATCGTAGAAATCGCAGGAATAAAAAATTAAGAACGTGAAAAGTAAAGAGCGTAGAAAGCGTAAAGGGAGCACACCAAGATTTATACTGGTTCACCACAACGTGTGGCTAATCCAGTCTCCCGAGAGACTCTCTCGAGCTACACTACTTCCGTTAAGCTTACGGGTGCTTAACAAACCGTTACAACCTGAGAACTCGAGTCCCACGAGCCTCAACATCTCATATGTAACCCGTCTTTCGGTGAGATGTAACAAACCGTTACAACCTGAGTACTCATGCTCGTTCATCCTAAACATCTCATATTCTTGGGTGAGGAAGTCAATTTTGGCTTCACGTACTTGGTCCGTTCCTTCGTACATCACCTCAAGTTTATCCCACATCTCTTTGGCGGTTGAGCAGCAAGAGATCTTGCGGTAGTCATCAGGATTTACGGCACAATAAAGCATGTTTATTGTTTTTGCATAATTCTCGACCTTTTTGATGTCCTCGGCATCAAACTCGTCTTCGGTCTTGGGGATCAACTTGTCTCCGAC